AGGTGCCAGCTTTGGTAGAGGAGTCTCTTAAGGAGCTTATGGAAAACCAGAAGAAGCTCCTGTACATCCAGAAGATTATAATGGAGGCTCTAGCAATTCAAGGAAAATCACTTCAGAAGATGAGTGAACAGACAAAGAAGCTGAGAAAGACTCGGGCCTCGAAGGAGTCGGAGAAGCAGTTGAGAGGAGAGGTAGAGAAGATGAAGTCAGGTGGAGACCTTCCTTTAGAGTTACTATTACAGAGACCAGCTCCCAACAGCTCATACTGAGCGGGTTTAGGGGCAGGAGACTTAGAGGGAGCCCAAGAGGAGGAGAGTGATGCCCCGGGTAGATGATGCAGAGATTTAGGTGGAGGACCCACAGGATACAGGTGCTTCTAGCCAGCCACAGGTCCCAGAGCAGTCACAGGATACAGGGATGCAATCACAGGTCCCCGAGCAGTCACATGACCCAGGGACCCAGGCACATGACCCCATGCAGACGGAGGACCCATAGGGAGTTTTCTTTACTCTCTATCCTTCTTTTTGAGCTTATTTTTGGTTAGTTAGCATTGAGGACAATTCTAGCTTTCATTTGAGGGGGTAGCCCTACTTTGATGACATTGGTAGTTGGAATGTAATTATGATACTATTTTCCTTTTTTATGCTTTATTTCTCACTTTTGGTATGTATATAATTTTACCAGTTATTTCACTTTTCATATTTTACAATCTTGGTTTGTATATAAAGTTACTCTCTCTTGTATATATTCATTCCCTCTCTTGTATAATCGTCTAAACCCCCAATTGTACATGTTTAGTTTACTTTACGTATTTTCTTTCATAACTTCTTTCGCAATTTTCCTTAATAGCATAGCTTCTTATTTCATTTTAGTAGCTTCTTTTTATGTTCATAGCTTCTTATTTTATGAGTTTTTGTTTAATAAGCCTTTGGTTTTCTTAATGCCACGGTTCTTTCCAAAGGTGGAGTTTGTGTGAACCGGGTGGCTCTTCCCGATGATGGATGGCATGACAACCTTCTTAAGGGTTTGAGTCTTTTTTTTCGTTTTTGTTTAAATAGTAGCTAGTGAGTAATAGTGCCTCAAGCAAAGCTTCACTTAAGCCTAACACATTTGCCTTTGACCTTATGGTTAGAACAAATTGGTGAGTAGGATGGTGATAGCTGTGACCTTAAGACTCTTGTGTTGACTAAACAATCATCAAGTGGTTTTTCGGAACCATTTGCGTTGCTCAAGTCTTAGCTAAGGTTGTTGTGGGCCCCTGACTCTAATCTTTAGCAATCTTATAGCTTGTGTGGTGAGTTATTTTATTTTCAAGTCCAAGCCCCATGCCAATAAGTCTAAACTTGCCCTGAATGTTTGTTGAAGCGAAATCCTAAGTGAAGCTCGACTTGAGAAGTGATTATAGGCTCTCCTTGATCCTTATTGAGACTTGAAGACATCCATAGCCTACCAATGATAATATCCCTAGTCAACCCAGTTGAGCTATAGCCCCTATTCTTTCAATAACCATGATAAAAGCCTTTATCCATTCTGAAATGACCCTCTCTTGGCACCCTATCTTTCCTTAGCACAAGGCAAAAGCATAAGTTTGGGGGGAGACGAGGAATGCAAAAGTGATAAAAAGGTACAAAATGAAGAAAAGGAAAAGCAAAAAGAGAAAAAGAAAGAAAAGACATAAAGAAGGTGAACAAGGTAGATGAAATGAAGGGATTCAATAAAAACAAAAGGATGAAAGGCATGGAAAGGTTGAAAAGGAGAAAAAGAATTGAAATGATCAAGAAAGAGTGACAGTGTGTCTCTCTAACCCCTAAAGATGTAAATGACTCAAGAGTCAAGAAAATGTGTGCCAAAATGAAGCAAATGAAGTGCTTAAGGGAAGATGAAACCTTCTTAGACCAATCTATCCTACCCTGAACCAAAAGCCTTCATTACATTACCACAAATGCCCTATATGATCTTGAGTTGGGTGAGCTTACATAAGTGGTGACTCACATAAGGGGCAAGCTTATGGTACTTAAAGCCGGACTTGAGATCTTCTTTGAGAGAGATGAGTGTGTTCTCCACAATCCTCGTTCTGAGTGTTACAATCTAAAAGTGAGGTTTGCTTGTGGAGAGTTGAGGAGTATGAGTTTGGGTTCCACAATGACCAAAGTAGTAGAAAGAGTTTCCTTGATGAGTTGAGTCAACTCTTGATGCTTTTGTGTCGCACTAAAACCATGGTGTTTAAAAAGGTTGAATGTTGTTAATGACTCATTTGAGTTGAGGGCAATTGTTAGTCCTAATTGATGCTAGATGAGGTCACTTTAGGACAGCTAAATTTTCTTTTCTTTTATCTTAAGGAGGTGGGACTTACATCGTTTGCTTGAGGACAAGCAAAAGCTTAAGTTTGGGGGAGTTGATAACTAGGGATTCTAGTCTATTTTATGCTCATTTTTTCTTGAGTTTTGGATTAAAAATGTATACAAGTAATCCCGAAAGCTTACATGTTGTGCTTGTTTGCAGTGTTTGGTCAAAAAGTGACAAGGAAGTCAAAACCAGCTCAAAAAGGAGTGAAACCTGCACAAGTGCAAAGCCAAGTCAAGGCACCGCTACAGCGGAAAATCCACTACGGACGCAGAAGACCCACCACGACCGCAGTCCTTTTATTGCGGTTCGCGGTGGCATGATTCAGAAAGCTTGATTTTGGGGTTACCAATCACCGTTGACCGCGGTGCCCTTACCGCGGCCGCGGTGCTTTTACCGCGGTCCGCGATAGCATGATTCAGAGAGGTGGAGTTTCTTGGGATTTCAAGTTATCGCGGTTCGCGGTTGATTTTACGCGGCCATGGTGGCCTCACCGCTACAGCGGTCCATTTTTTGCGATCCGCAGTACCTCCGTCAGGGGCATTTTTTTCCGAAAAATTTAGCCTTGTATAAATACTTCTATTTTAGATTTTAGGTCATCTATTGTTTAGCTGAGCACGTGAACTGCCTTTTTTTACCTTTTTGAGTAATTTCATAGCTAGTTCAGCAATTAATCTCAGTACTTTATCTTGTAATTAAATTTTATGGATCAATATTCATCTAAATATTTGATTTCTTCTATTATTATGAGTAGCTACACCCATTAGCTAGGGTTGTGGCTCAACCCTAGTGTGGGTATTTGATGGGTCTCTTATTTTAGGATTTAGTTGTTTATAGGTGGTTGGTATTTGGCTTGATTTGTATTTTCCATGTTGAATTAGTGGTTGCAAACACTAATTTGTACCTTTTTTACTTAGGCTCTTCTTGAGAAAGAGAGCTTGAGCCTAGGAAAATCAGGCCAACAAGGAATTGGGGTGTATTCAAGAGATTAATAGCCCCAATTAAAGGGTTAAACCTAGAGATAGTAATACCCAACTTGAGCCTACATTGCTTGCACAATTTTGACACCCAATTGGTCTTGAAAAAGTCAGTTAGGGCAAAGTCACTCAAACTACCGAGAGGTATAGAGTGAGTAGTTTCGTGCATTGGCTATATCACGAACCCAAACATAACAATTTTGCCTTAGGTGTTAGAACCCATTAAATATTCACCTAGGGGATAGTCGCTTCCCTAGTGCCTCTCCATCAATTAAGAAAACCTTACAAAAAAATATCATACTTAGTCTAATTTCCTGCATCATTAGTGTTAATCTAGAATAGTGAACTATCAAAGCATGTTTAAAAGTGTAAACAATTACTTTGCACATTGCTAGTGTAGATAGGAACCCAATTCCAAACTTATTCTAGCTTCCTGTGGATTCGATCCCGACCTTCTCGGGTAAAAGCTGCATCGACCGCTCTTGCCACTCAATAGTGGTGTAGGGTTGGACCCGATCAGGGCTGCCTCCTCGCTATACGGTTGTTCAACGAATCGGACGATGTCTTGTTTTGGTAGCAGTTTCGGAGCCCCCGGTATCTTATTGACCCTTTCTTGATGTTCCCTCATCTGGTCGCGGAGTGTCTTGTTTTTGTTTTCCATTTCTTCCATTTTCCTTAAAATGGCTGCCAATGCGTTAGTGTTACCTGTTGAGGGAGCTGGTTGCTCATCGCTGATCGTTATGACATCTGCCGGTGTGACATTCCGGTTCGCTTTTTAAACGGGCTTGTCAAGTATGTCACTAAGGGTGCTTGTCAACCACTCTTCTAATAGTTTCTTCACTGCCGGTGGTACTTCCTCAGCTGTGGATATGGAAGCTCCTCTTTCGCGTGAAGCGGTTACATTTTCATGAGGAGGAGGTGAATCACTCCGCCTGGGCGTAACGCTTGGCGTCACATTCTCATTGTCTTCTCTACCATCCTCGTTGATGGTGTTCAGAATGTTTGTAGTGACGCCTGCTATTGCTTATGTCGTGTATCACCTTTTCCTGCCATTGTTTGTTTATGCAAAGCGAGGAAAAGATGGCTATCCTTTTTTATGATCTAGAAGAAACTAAAATTTCAACTAAAAAGTCCCACAGACGGCGCCAAATTGTTTGACCAAAAAGTGTTAAACTCTTTACATGAAGTATCTTTTTGGCAGTCCCCCTTTTTTTGTTCTCTATCTCTTCCTATTTATAAGAGACATTTCCCAAAAACCTTATAAAGCACAAAGCAAGGAATATCCTAAGGAATATTCCTTGTGTCTAAATTTGAACTTAGGCTACCGTTGCCTCCGTATCGCAGCTGCCCGTCTTTGGCACAAAACATTTCAAAAGCAAACCTCAGTCGTCATACCATGGTCGGCCCCGTCCTTTATCTTAAATATACTTTGTTATCGATACGCCAAATTTTGACCTATACAATTTTAAGTAAACAATATGACTATGTTTTACTTCAATGTCGAAAAGTTATGGTAGAATGCTGGAAATGTGACCCAATTAAATTTTGTTGAAGATGAAGAAGGTGTTTTTCTCTTTTCTTGAGGATGGCAGAATAATGTCTGCTTCTTCCTCGTTTTGGTATGCGAATAGTTAGGGCAATAATGTCGGGCGGGTCATGGGTAATGAGTCAGGTTGGATTTTTTTAAATGTTTAGTTAGTTCAGACTCTCAAAAGATGCCATGTGTCTTGGCCGTTAAAATAGGGGTGAATATAAAACTTTGATGGAAGGTAAGGATATATCTGAACGGAAAGTATAACGGAGGATAGAATTGAAAATGATATATTTGGCCCTTTTATGTATTTAGTCATATACTTCGTGGACCGAATGTTAGTGTCTAATATTTGGAACAGAAGCTGTTCGACAAAATGCCGGAATGGAACAGCAAATAGCCATCAATGGCGATGCTATCAACTATTACAAGACGCACTATTTTCTCAACCCCATTAACCGAACACTTATCTTCCTCTTCCTTCTCTTCTTCTACCTCACCGCAACCATCTTCAAACGAAGACGAAACTCTAGTCTCAACAGCCATAAAAATCCTCAAACACCATCGCTCAAAATCAAGATGGTCCGAAATTCTCTCTCTATCCCCACCCCCTTCCGGCTTCACTCCCACCCAAGTCTCTCAAATCATTCTTCAACTCCGCAACACACCTCATCTCGCTCTCCGTTTCTTCCACTTCACAATCACTCGCTCCATTTGCTCTCACTCTCTTTATTCCTACGCCACTATCATTCACATCCTCTCCCGTTCCCGCCTTAAATCCCAAGCTTTAGAGCTACTAAAATCCGCCATTCGAAAATTCCCCGACACCCATCAACCTGATTTAACAAACCCACCTCGGATTTTCCAAATCTTGGTTAAAACTTACAGGACTTGTGATTCAGCTCCTTTTGTGTTTGATTTGTTGATTAAAGCTTATTTGGATTCTAAAAAAATTGATCTTTCTGTTAAACTTGTGAGGATTTTAGCTAAAAAGAATATCTTTCCACATGTTGTTATATGCAATTCTTTGATTGAGTTGATTGCGAAAAGTCGAGGCCCTTTTGCTGCTTATGATATGTATAGGGAAATCTTTAAAGGTAGAGAGGTAAAGGGTGTGATCGTCAATGCTTATACTTTTAACATTCTTATGGTAGCTTTTCATAGAGATGGAGTAGTTGAGAAGGTTGAGGAGGTTTGGAAGGAAATGATGGAAAAAAATTGTGCCTCGAATACATATAGTTATAGCGTTTTAATGGCCGCGTATTGTGAGGATGGACTGATGGAGAATGCCATGAATGTTTGGGAGGAGATGGGTGATAAGGGCGTGAAACATGATATTGTAGCTTATAATACCATAATTGGGGGATTTTGTAAAGTTGGAGAGGTTGATAGAGCTGAGGATTTTTTCCGGGAAATGGTTTTCGCTGGGGTGGAGTGTACTTATGTTACTCTTGAGCATCTCATAAATGGACATTGTATGAGTGGGAATGTTGATGCAGCTTTAGTCTTGTATAAGGATATGTGTCGAAAGGGATTCAAACCAGAGAGTTCAATGATAGATGCTGTCGCTCGGATGCTATGCGACAAAAATGGAGTTTTTGAGGGCTTGGAATTTGTGAGAGCTGTAATAAAGAAACATGATACCGTACCAAGGAAGAGTACATACGAACTTCTGATACGGAGCTTGTGTGAGGAGGGTTTGATGGAAGATGCGCAAAAACTTCAGGTAGAGATGGTGGGGAAAGGATTTGCCCCAAATGTGGACGTATATAGTGCTTTCATTGATGGGTACATCAAGCAAGGGAATGACAAAATGGCTGAAACTTTGAGGAACGAAATGCTTACGAATAAGATCCCTTGTAAAGATAGCTAGAAGTTCGTATAGCATCCAAACTTTTAATCAAATCTAAGTTGTGACTTCGGGCTATGAGGTTAACAAGGTGACTTTGCCGAGGTGCAAGTCTATCAGTACATCAAAGCACGGTGCTCTCTGAAGGGCATCTTCATGATTTTTCGAATATGAGCAGTGCCTTCTTGCTGAAGAATATGAACAGTGCCTAACTGCTTGAAGAGTCTATCGGAAACAGCCTCTCTACCTTATAAAGGTAGGGGTAAGGTCTGCGTGCCGTACACACTACCCTCCCCAGACCATACTTATGGGATTACATTGGGTTTGTTATTGTTGTTGTTGTTCTAACTGCTTGAAGAGTTCTCGCTACAGGTCAGGATCTTAAGACGATTCATCCTAGACTCTTTCCTGCAGTGTACCAGCATAAATGTTCTTTTATCGCTTTCCTAGTCTTAGAGATAAAAAGTTACATCCCACAATGTGCTTTATGTTTCACCACTGCAATTACATCGAGGCTTTATTACCTATTGTCCTCTTCCTATTTGTGGAATGCTTAAAACATAGCCTGCTTTTCTCACAGAACTGGATGACCTGCTTAGATACTTTAATACCATCATCATAGTTAAATAGCTGAATATGTTTGCCGAAGCATGAGTCTCTGATGTTTGAGTTTAAGAACGGAGGGCTGCAAAAGTAAGTGTTCCTACATTTTAAGATTGGGAACAATGGACAGGTGGGGCAGGTCATGTTTTCATGGGCTAATTTTGCCACCCAAAAGGGCATGTCAAGACATGTAACAAATTCGCTTGGTACACAAGTCAATGTTCTTGCATTTATCTAATGCTTTCATGTTTTTTTAGGATGATTTTCACTTTTGAAATGTCAAATTCTGCTATATCCGAGTAACAAGTGATATTACTATTACTGCTCCATACAATAAATGAATGCTCCTCCAATATTTTTTATGCTAATCCTTTACAAACTGCCAACACCATAAAGATGACTTTTCGGAAAATTTACAGTTGTTTCCTGAAGCTATGCTGTGAAAGTTGGAGAAGACTTCCAGCTGCTTGACAGAAAAGTAACCAAAGATTAGAAATGGAGATTCCATGATAAGAAGGCCAATCCAGCATATATCTGTTATCTGCTGCAAAACTTTGAAGGACATAGTGTTCTGTTGGCTCTGAGCCAGATGAATTGGTTCATTGTCTACTGCTTGTACTGGTTGATGATTCTTGTATAGTCTTCCCAATTATTCAAAAATGACTTGATGTGTATCCTCGGCATATCCAATCGTCTAAAAGATTGGAGTGCTGAATCCTGACAGTATTTGTCAACCAATGTGAAAGTCATTCTACAGGATCAAGGAGCTGCCCGGCAGCTGAGATTTGTGTAAAATGCAGTACACATCACTCAAACAGTATGGAACTCTAATTAATTCAGACATTATATGATCTTTCTATATTATCACTCTCAATCTACTCATGAACATTGTCTCTATATAAATAAATTTCACATCAGTTGATGCTTTCTTTGATATATGTTACCTCTGCTGTTGCTAAATGTAATTAGTGAAGGGGGCATGCTTCAGAATTAAACTGAGAGATTAACTTTTTGATGCAACATTTCTATAACTGAGTTTAAAATGCTGATTGTTTGATAATGAATACTTGTTATTCTGCTTCATTCTTTCTTTTCTATTAGGTGATTTTGACAAATCAAAAGACCATTCAATACCCAAGTTTCACATTTATTAGATAAGGTTTATTTTTAAACATTTATCAGAGAAGTTGAGGCGGGGAATTCGTCGTGATGCTTGAAAATGCTTTTTCAACGTAGAATGTCATGAACTGCAGAAGAAACTTGATAGCTGCACTTGCATATTACACTCTTTCAACATCCAAGACTTGACCCCTTGCAATTGTTAAATCCTATTGATTTAGTTCTACATGCTACCATGTGCCAATGAGTAGTTTTTCATATTGGACAAAACTTATTTACACCCACTATTAGTACCAATTCAACGAATGTATGACAAGTATCCATAGTTTGACAAGCAACATTATGCTAAGTCCTGATAAGTTTCTTTCCTGTCAAAAAAAAAAAGTATTACTTGGTGACAAGACAAGTGAATCCACAGAGATTCAATAGGAATACAACAGTTATGGATAGCTGAATTTAGGCCTTAGTTAATCAATTATTAGAAGATGATTAGAACTGCATTGAGTTCAGAAATCGTTGGAAAAAAAAGTTTCAGATGAAAAAACATAACAAGAGGCGATTTGGTGGCCATATTGCATTGGTAACATTACAGATAGAACCACGCTAAATCTCACTTATGGGATCATTTATGCATTCAGTAACATAGTGCAAGGATTGCTGGGAATGGGTATCTAATCTAGGTGGAAAAGCCATCAAATTCACACATGACTCTGGTGTCGATAAACCAAAAGAGAGTTTCCGCAGCATAATTTATCTCAAATAACTAGGGTACAACCATACAATTCCCAATTATATGCCAACCTGACAAATTTCAGAATCATATCGTCAAATGAAAATGAAATGTAGAGACAGAAATGACTAAGAAGAGGGTCAACAGATGTGTAGAGAAAACTAGCTCCTTTTCTTCCAAACATTCCTTCCTCTAGAGAAACTGCAAAAGGCAAAGACAAGAAGATAAGGACATTATCAGAGACGTGTATATAAAGAAAGACAGACCTTAAGTTGTATTTAAATCGGGCAATTAACTCAAGAATGGTACAGCTTTGAAAGGGCCTAAAATGGAATTGCATCAGAAATTGTACTCGAGCAACAACACAGCAATCCCAATCCGTAATTACCTATGTGAGCACATGCATGAATTCTAGTCCAAACTGAAATTATAAGCAACTGATATACTAGGAGTAAGCAACTTAAACATATCAAGATTAAGGAACTGCACGAAAGCCATACTAAATTTTTTTAACAACCGAGAAATACCCAAGGGCCATTGGTGCCACGGTTCGACACTCGGTAGATAATGGGGCTAGGCCCCTCTACTCTTCTCCATTTAGATACCAGACTTGGTTCACCACCCAAGATTCGAACTCACGATGTGCGCCTGCCACACATCCTTTGCCGTTGAACAAAGTCCTGGAACAACAGTAATATTCACAAGATTCAAGAAAAGATGATGAAACATGTTACTTCATCAACTTTAGCGTACTCACACACATATAAGTCATTCAATTCCTAGTACTTCACTTTGCATCTACAAAATCAACTCGATCCACTTGCATTGTAAAATTCATATTTTCAAACTTCTAATCACCTACCAAATAGAACCATGAAATCCAAACTCATGCACAGGCAATAGGGACCATCACCATACAAGCTTCTTTTTGCATTTATTAGTAAAGAGCTTTAGATTACTTTCATATTCTAGTAGATATAAAGCTCATAAAAAATAAATACATAGGAATTTACGGTAGAAGTTTATTCCTTAACCCTCAACCAGAGTACTCCAAATCATAGATCATTTCATAATTGGTGCTCGGCAACTTACACAACTCAATCCAACTACTTTATGCACCAGAACCTAAGTTGCATACAACACCAAAAACACAAGAAACCCCACGACCTTGGTTCAGTCATGTGTTTCTTAATTTCAAATTCTGATATATGAATAACATTAGAGGCAAGATTGTCAACCCACAAAAGATTTACTAGGATGAAAAAGCAACTCTATCCCATTATTGCTCAATCACATTAACAATATAACTAAACACAACATCGAACGAGCCTCCAAGTAATCTTTCAATGAAAACTATATCATTCTTCATATTGATTCAGCAAGCTCATGAAACTAGATTTTGCACTTATGAGTTACCTTAGTGGCTTAGATTTTAATATCACATTAGGAGGTTCTTGAAATTTGAAACGAGCATAAATGTCCATCCATCCATGAACCAACTCATTGTTGCTAAAGCTCAAGCACTCTTACCTACCAACTACCTCTTATTCAGCTGAAATTCACAATCTTGGAACACTCTAGTGCAGAAGATAATTCAAACGGCCTTACAGCCCCCAAAAGATATGCCGCACATGGTGACATTAAGAGAAAAACCCCAGGATAAGCCATTCTTATTGAGACACAATAAATACAGTATGGAAAATGAAAAGAATGAAGGACAACGATAACACTAGCAAAAGATGCTAATCTAGGAAGCGTCCCAGGCCTTTGGTTCAACGGGCAAAGTTAATACACCGGTGGATGTGTTGGAGGCGCATTTCACAAGTTCCCGAACTAAGTCTGGTATTTAAGTGGAAAAGGTAGATGCGCCCTAATCCACTTGAGTTTTATACATGAACATAAGCAATTAACCAGATTATCAAGTTGACCCAACAAAAAAATCACAAGTCTCCATAGAACTACAGATAGTGAACTGAATAACCGGGACTAAGTCTATAATCCTTCTAATCCAAAGTCAAGGCAGAGTATCTGAGTGAATGTATCTAATCTTCCAATTCGGACATGATCACTAAATAATATTGAGCCTAATTGAGTATATAATTTCGATTAGAAGAGAAATTTTTACCTGAGTAGAAAGAAGTACAAAAAATGATAGGGGTTTAGAGCTCGAGGAGGAGTTCTTCTTTCTGATCGGAAAAATAGTGGAGGATATATGGGGTGACCCGAATTACGGCGACCCAAGCTCCGAAAAGGGCGACGTGAGTCTTCAGCTGCTTGAGAGCAGCTGCTTTGTCAGGTTTACGCATGAACAATCCTGGAAACATGGTTTCGTCGTTTGCAAGATTTCTCTTCCAAGGGGAGATGAAACGAGCTTAAACCCTAGCTTTGATGAGTTCGTGATTAATTATTTGTTTAACTTTAACCCCAGTGTGGCTGAGCTGCTCACATATTTGGACTGGGCCTTCTTAAGCCCGGCCCGTTCACGGTTTTTTTTTTTCCTAATGAAAGGAATACTTTATATTAAAACATAATAAGTTTAGTTATTACATAACATAGGGTAGATCGCATAGCGATTTTCCTCTATTTGTTTTTATTAAAAGCATGTAAAACAAAGTCCGAAGGGGTTTTCTAGAATATTGTGTTGTCTCCCTCCGTTATTGGTGGTTGCTTGGAACGTTCATACTTTGCTAAAGCGTCAGCCACAGAGTTGCATTCCCGATATATATGAGTTATTTCTTCCAATCCAACAACATCAAGAAGAAAACTGCAATCGTTAAGAAGATGTGAGTAGCGATATTATTCATCCTTCAATAAGTTACATAATACTTATGAATCTGTTTCCACTAAAATGGGAAAGAGATTTTTTTGTGAAGTAGAGTTCCAGTCCTACTAGTAGTGCAAGAAGTTCAGCATGAAGAGCGGATGTTGCAGTCATCTTCTACGCAAAACCTACAACCCATATGCCATTGTGGTCTCTGATAAGTTCTCCAGTGCCACTGGTTTCGTTATTTGGATTATAAGCCCCATCAATGTTTAGCTTGTAATGGCTCGTGGGTGGTAGCCATCTTATAGTTAATTGAAGCCCTGGGTTTGATGTCGTAGTAGTCGGGGTTATGAATTCTGCAACTTGTATCATGATTTTTTGTGGCATGTTATGATTGAAGTATGGTTGAAGAGATTTGAGTTCCTATTATTCCATATATTCCAGAGGATGAAAGGTAGAAGGGTGGAGTTTGGAGTTTTAAAGGAAGCATTTGTTGTGTGGATGGTAGTGTCTTTGTTACACGTATCCTTCATCCAATTGGCAAGATTGTGTGCTTGAGGTCTTCGTAGATTGAAAAAAAACCATAAATGGTGGTAGTGTTTGCATGCAAAGAATATGTGATTTATGTCCTCCATTATAGTTGGACAGAATTGGCACAAATTTGATTGAAGTATATTTTTCTTGTATAGAAAGTCTTTAGTAGGTAATTTGTGGTGTACAAGTAGCCAGAAGAAAAACTTCAGTTTATTCAAACACTTGAACTACCAAAGCCAAGAGTTATTTGCAGCGGTGGGTTGTGGTATTTGGTTGTTGATCTGGAGTTGGAGCAGATAGGCTGACTTTGTGGTAAAGTTGCCAAGAGATGTTTGGTTCCAGAAAGATTGGTCAGGTTTGTTGGTTGAGAAAGGAATGTAAATGTTGTTGATTTGATCTAGTGTATAAGGATGTAAGGGTAAGAATAATCTATCCAGAAACACGAATGGTTTGTACGAATTGATGAAACTGTTAACTGTTCCTCCATATGGTGTAGGGGCCCTGGATATTTTTGCACAAACAGTTATTATTTGGAAGCCAATTGTCATTCCAGAGATTGATTTTTTTCCATCCCCTATGTTTCAGGAGAGCCCTGTGTGGAATAGGCCATTGGCTTTAGCCATGCTTTTCCATATGTATGAATCAGATGGCTTAGCATCGTATATTCTTTCTCGTCTATGCTGAACATATTTTGCTTGAAGAATTTTTATCCACAAGGATTTGGTCACTTCTATAGAATCGCCATAGTAACCCTGCTAGCATTGCATAATTCTTCTCACCAGTTTTATAAAGACCCAGCCCTCCAAGCGATTTTGGTGTGGTTACAGTCTCCCAGTTAGCAAGGTGTACTTTTTTTTCTGAGTTGATCCCCATAGAAAATTTCATTGGATACGGCCTATGTGATTCCTAGTGGAGGTTGGTAGTAGATTATTTTGCATAGAATAATTTGGTATGATGGCTAATAGTGGGTGTATGAGGGTGGTTCTTCTTGCCATATTGAGAGATTTTGCTTTCCAACCTGAAAGATTGTTGTTCATTTTGTCGATTATGAATTGATAGTCATTGCCTTTAGGGGAGTGGTTTGTTAGGTGGAAACCAAGGTATTTACCAAAGTTAGTGGACTTGCAGATGTTTAGGGCACTAGTTAGATAATCTTGTGTGGTGATAGAAACATTGTTGAAAAAGAAACTTTAGATTTTGAGAAGTTGTTTTTTGCCCTGGTGGTGTAGTGAATTAAAAATATTTATAATAGTGTCAGTGTTATTGTCACGACCCAAAAATCCCTCCGAAGGAGTCGTGATGGCACCTAGTTTCTAAACTAGGTAAGCCTAACATAAACTGAAATAACATTGATGCTTTCTAACTTTTAATTTACCAACTCTGGATAACTCAAAATTTCCCAAAACCGGTGGTACAAGTCACAAGCCCATCTAAGAGTAATTACACAAAATAATACATCTCTGCCCCGAAACGAAAGAGCAAATGAAAATAATTACAAATGAAGGTGACTCCGAGACCTGCGAACGCAGCAGCAGGTTACCGTGAGTCTCCACTGCAACGACCCCCACAGCTACTATAGATCAATACCTGGATCTGTACACAAAAAAATGTACTGAAGTGTAATATGAGCACACCACGGCGGTGCCCAGTAAGTATCGAGACTAACCTCGGTGGGGTAGTGACGAGGAACAGTCAGGACACCTACTGGTCAATTACAATTAACAGGATATGGAAATAAACATCAAGATAAAGATAACGAAGTAACATCAACTGCGGAGAGAAAAATCCAAGTGCAAACAGTACAAACAATAAAGGGAGAACACTGATAGTAACGAACGTAAATCACGTAAATCAGACAACCCAAATAATTCAACACTGATATAGCAGAGACAGAGACAAGTAAGAATGTATCCAATTAAAGAAAACAATGTCAACTCAATCAATCCCATCAAGTTTAATACACCATCCCGGCCATTTCAATCCTCGATTTCTCGTATCATAATCTTAACTTTTGAACTTTCAGCACATATGGCACCTCGTGCCCACATATTTTCCATCTCACTCTTAACAACAAAATCCACATGATATACAATACCAAATATCCTTGCAAATGCACTTAAGATGTTCAAGATGTCCTATTTGCATAATATAAATTAAATTTGAATTTCTAAATAAGTTTGGAAAAAATCGGCGAGAAAAGATGAAGTTATTTTTAGAAATCATTCGAGTAAGAAAAATACCCCTTTATATTTAAAATACAACATAGGAAGAATTATTACCTTTAACAGGGGAGTTGATAACTTAAAACTTAGTAGAAATTTCTTTTTAAGTAAAATACAACCTCAGACGGTTTAAGGGGATATAATTGAGAAACTAATTGAATTAAGGACGTAACAACTCTTGAAGTTTGAAGTATTGGAACGTATAAATACGGTGAGGTATTGAAAATATTGTGGGTTCTAACACAAAGGGTCACAGCAATAAGGGAATTTAACAGTTTAACATTTGAATTGATAACAACTAAACATAGCAAACCGAAAGTGCACGGCACCAAAATCCAATCACTAACAAGGATAAGAAAACCAAACATAGAATTTCACTTTCATTTTATTTATCTCGTGGCAAACGTGCCACCCGCTCCCATTTCACTTATCTTGTGGTAGGCGTACCACCCGCTCCCATTTCATAATATCTTGTGGAAGGCGTACCACCCGCTCCCATTTCATTATATCTTGTGGTAGGCGTACCACCCGCTCCCATTTTAATTTCTCATCATCAATTATAAAAGAATACCGGCAAGGAAATAATAAGGAAACCACAATATCTCGGCAAGGGAATAATAAGGAAACAACAATATCCCGGCAAGGGAATAATAAGGAAACGACAATATCCCGGCAAGGGAATAATAAGGAAACGACAATATTCCGGCAAGGGAGTCAACAATAAGAATAAACACGTCACGGCAATGGAACCAACAGTAAGAATTTAATGTGTCCCGGCAAGGGAATCAACTATAACCAAACTTGTACCAACAATTAACCTCACAATGAAACCTCCACTACAACAAGATGTAATAAGCACGTGATAACTACACCGGCAACCACAGCAATTGGACATGTAACCTATTTGCACGAAGTCATAGAGCAACTCACAACCAAGAAGTACCAAAATAATAAGGAAGACAATCACTTCATTTAAGGCAATTTAGGGTCAATGTAACACGTAACAATTAGAGGAAAGCTAGCAACGTCATATGGAGCATATAGGGGCAATTCAAGAAACTAGGAAACCCAATCATAACAGGATACTTTCCACATAAGGACCTAAGAACCCTATAGGAAAATTTTCCACAAATAAGTCCGAGCACACACTCGTCACCTCACATGCATGGACTACAATTAGCATAGAAGACTCAATTCCTAAGGGGAAGTCCCCCACACAAGGTTAGGCAAGATACTTACCTCAAAGGCGACAAACCGATACTCTAAAATGCACTTCTCGGGTGAAAAGACCTTCGGACGGCTCAAATCTAACCAAATTAACTTCAAAGCACAAATACAACACATAAGAAACTATTCTGGATCATAAAGTTTCAATCTTTACAAAAATATAAAAATCGACCCAAAAAGTCGACTCCCGGGACCGCACCTTGAAACCCGTCAAATTTTACAAAATTCGATCACCCATTCCAAAATGAGTTCAACCATACAAATTTTATCAAATTCCGATACCATTTGGTCCCTCAAATCACGGTTTTTTCATTTTAGAACTTTTCTTCAAAAACCAACTCATTCCCCAACCCCAAACACAATTTAAATGATAAAAATAAAGACAAATTCATGGAATATATTTAATTATAGTTGAAGAACACTTACCCAATTGAATTTCGTGAAAAACCCAACAAATTTCGCCAAGAACCGAGCTCTAGAAGTCAAGATGTGATGAAAATGGTGAAACCCTCGAGTTAGGGATATATTCTGTCTGCCCAGGCTTTTATGCATCGCAAACGCGAAGAGAGGATCGCGTTCGCGAAGCGGAAAAATTTAGGCTGCCCAGGTTGCTCATCGCGAACGC